TTATAAAAATTATATTATTAAACGATAAATAAATTACTTCGTTATTAATTCTAAATTAAATTATAAATAAAATATTGAATTAAAGAGATTAAAATAAATTAGAAATTTAAATAGTAAATTTGATACTAATATCGATATACCTTTTTATCCAAATTTTTATGATATCTTTAAATTTAGATTTTATTTAAAAAAAACATTATCGTTTTCTCAAAACACTGAAAACCATATTATATCGACAAAGATAAATAATAAAACGAAACATTAAAATTGAGATATATATCTCGCTATATTATGCGAACACCCTTCTAGTTACTTAAAATTCAAGATTACAAGTAAATTTTGCGTAAGTACAACTTATTAAAGCTTTATGTTTGAATTCGTGTAACTAACTGCAAATAAATAGAATCAAATAGAGAATGAAATCTCATTTAAATATAAAAAATCTAAAATACAATCAAGATAATCATTGACTTCTAACAGAACACTTAATTATTATCTTTATAAAAAGTTATATTATTAAACAAAAAAAAATTAAAAAAATTACAAAAAAAGGAGAAATTTTAAATAGTTAGTTTGTAACTAATACCAATATTTTTTTTCTTCATTTTTTATGATATCTTCATATTTATATTTTATTCAAAAATAAAAACATTATCGTTTTCTCAAAAACACATAAAACCGTATTATAACATCGATTGAGACAAAAATAAATAAATAAAAAGAAACATTAAAATCGAGATGTATCTCGCTGCATTGCCTGAGTACCCTTCTAGTTGTATTAAATGATTGAATATTTTAATAATATAATTAATAAAAATATTGTTAAAATAGAATAGTATTGAAATTAAATATAATTTTTCTAAACTTTCAACTTTTGATATTATATTTTAAAAAAAAAACTATAACATAGCTGTTTGAAATGCTTTTATCTCTAATTACATCACATTGCAACATATCGTAAATACAAGTATTTACACTACGTTTAGAAAATATAATATTTTTTTATGAAAAAAAATAATAATTTATTTGATTAAACTATAAACATGAATCATATAACTTAGGGACCGTTTACCTAAATACTTATTCGGTAAATATTTACCGATAGGAGTCAACACTATAATCTGTTTTACCAGATAAGATTGTAGTATATTAAAACGATATCGTATGTAACAATTTACCCGGTAAACACTTACCTGGATAAGAGTCTTCACCATCACTTACCGGGTAAAACTCTCTATCCCTATCATCGCTCTTACCAGATAAGATTTTCAGTCATTGCCATATACATCAAGTGAGGAAAGTTACCCAATCCACACTTACCGGGTAAGTATTTAGTAAACGACCTCTTAAGCAACTTGCAAATAAATTAAAAATACCATGAAAATAAATTGGTTGATATTTTAAACCCAAAAGCGTCAATAAAATAACAAAAATAAAATTAAAATGAAGATTCATATATCTGGTAAACCCTAAATTATCCTTCGTCTTCCTTTTTACCCTTCAATCTCACAAATTTCTTAACACCGTCGCCGGCGAGGCTCTTCTTTTTCCGATCTTCATATCTCACTTGCTTTCGAGGTGCTTGGATCAACCTATTTGTGCCATGGAAGATGGAGGAGTTTATACAGAGCTGTTTTCTTTTCACAAACCTAGAACAGATCAGATCCCATGGCTCTGATCTTGCTCTTATTGTTGGAATCGGTGGTCTCGGAATCATTTTTCAAATTATAATCAGGTAAAACTATTTTCTTCCATCTATTTTTCAATTTAGTTCACATTCACGGCTAGGGTTTATGTTGCAACTCCATATTACTGCTTTAATTTTTACTCAAATTAGACTGATATTTGTGGAAATCATTGCTAAAATACAGTATTTTATACTCGTATCTGAACTTTTACTTGTTGAATATTTTAGGGGTTTTTAATTCGTATACCGGTGCATATGGGGGTTGGTTTCATATGGATATATAGAATCATACTCAGGTTATATGTATATGGTTATTGAAAAGTGGGGTTCTTTTTATATGGATTTATACATAAAGATTAGGATTAATCATTATAATCACCGCATTGAGGGGTGTTTGGGATTGCTTATGAAAGCTACTTATTGAGTAAAAGTTAATTATTATTGGGGGGTGTTACATCTAACGAGTAAGTGTTATATAAACTAATTTATCAAATTAATTATTTTTGGGTATTGATATTGATTCAACTCCTTACATAGGTTTAACAACACCCACGCGACCTATCATTTGACTTAGATTATTCGATCCATGATTGAGGGGCCATGGTGTACTTGGTCGGAAATCCCTAGGGAGGTGAAGCCACGGATGTGGGAGCCTTTCCAAGTTTGTATTATGGTTTTGATAGGTTATGGTTACACTAGATTGATCATGGTTTTCGATAGGTTATCGTTTTGGTTTGCTGTTGCTAAGTTAAAATTTAGGTGTAATTGTTTCTAGATGATTCCGATCATAGCTTCACACAATTTGCTATTATTCTTGACGATCAGTATTACTTGTTTATTCAGTTAGATTATTTACAATTCGTTTTTGAACAACGTGCTTCAAAAATGCCAAAGCAGCATCCATTGTTCCTCGTTTTGCTTTTGTATGTGTGGGCCCTTTAAGAAATGTTATAACACACAAAAATATACTTGCATCCACTATTGTAACTAATATTAGTAAACTGAACCAAATGAACCAATATATCCTGCTGAACATATAACATCATGTGAAAGGGTTTGGTGTGATATGAGTGTGATAATCATGTGATATGTCTTTGTGTAATTATTAAAACAACAAATAATGACTGGAATTTGCTTCCTTTTTTGACTATTTTCTACCAAAATATTCTACAAATATTCTTATTTTCCTTCAAGTAGATAAACTTTGAATTAAATTTATTTATGATTTTGGATGGGTTGTCATTATGTTTGTTTCTCATTTGGTATTACTGCTATGTTTTGTTTAATATAATGTTATGAATTATATACATAATTTGAGTAATTGGTTGTTCGGAAGAGTGATGATAAGTTGAGTAACCTAGTGTAAAAATGATTATTTGAATTTTGGATGCTAAAACATCATATATGAACTAACATACTTCCTCATCTTAGAACTCAAAATCTGGTATTAGGCCTGATTTTTGTACCAAGAATGTAAAAATAAACTAATAAACTACTTGTAACTTTAGTGGATAGAGCCCGAATCCGGATGGTTGTTGGGTGGAAACTTATTTTCAATAACTTCTAGGATTGGATTATCGTTATGTTTGTTTAATGTTACGTAAATATATAGTATGCTGTGACAGACCATTATCCACCCTGCAACAAGAACTCTCTTTTAATAAAGCACATATTTAACAAGATCTTTGTTTCAATGTGATTAACTCCATTTCTTATGATAGAAATCGAGGAAGAATAAGAATTGTAAAAGTAAGGTAATCGTTCATTTGAACGGTATGCATATGTGCATATAAAGTAATTTGTAGCAATTTGTCTGGTGTGCATAACATGCACATATGCATAAAACCAAAAAAACAGTTTCAGTTACTTCGTTCACATTTATCACACCGTTATCACATTTCCCGTAATGAGTAATATTTTATCACACTGTTATCATATTTCCAGTTATGGATAATATTAGGATCACAGATTGCATTCAAACCTAATAATATTTTGTGCAGAAACTATATGTAAAAGGCCCCCAAAGTCAAGGGTTCTAAAGGTGATGACGACTTTGAGGTTTAAGACGAAAACATAAGGAAAAAGGTAAAAAGTGTCAAAGGAGATGCTAAGGGAAGAGAAGATAATGTCAAAGGTCCGATCAAAACCCATCTTGCTCTTCGTACCAGAACATCGCCTAAATCCCTGTATACAATGATTCAAAATCTATCCCATCACAAATAGAGTGTGTAAAAGAAATGAGGTTTAACGGCCTCCTGAACATGAAGACAGACGGTATACCTGCAATGCTTGGCTATTATGTAGTTGATTCTTTTGTCCCTCAAAACATGTTGATTAAACTCGAAAACGGTGTGATCCCAATCACAGTTAAAAAAATACATGATGTGATTGGTGCACCAATTGGGGGAGCTACTTTGGATAGTTTAGTTAATGATAATTGCAGAGTTAATATAGTAGAGCAATGGAAAAGTAAATATTCGAAGCAGTCTTTACGTGTCACATATATAGTAAACGAGATTATCACCTCAGATAATGGTGATTGGAATTTCAAACTAGACTTCATAATGGTCTTCTGCAATGTCATGGGCCAATGCAAATCGAACGGCATTTGTGACCTAAGTGTTCTTTCATATCTATCACAAAAAACTTGTTTTGCAAAAATCGATTGGTGTGATTATGTCTTCAAGTGTTTAAAGATAAGCAAAACCACATGGAAGCCAGACCCAATAGAGTGTTACTACAGTGGCCCGTTAACTACATTGACGGTATGTTTACATATCACATTTTAATATATATATATATATATACATATATATATTGCTATTTATTATCAATGGATATTTATTATGAATGAATAATCACGAAATATAAATTGTGACGGGAATTTTACTTCTTGCATTTTTAAATGAAGCTTTTGTACTTCAACACCATTCGATGTGATGCTGTGCACATCATACGCGAAAGACCATGCATTGCTAGTTGGTCAATGGACTTTTTAAGAAGACGGTAATCAATAGAAATTTCTACCGGTAGTTTCGGGATTGGCAATGTTGTAGATTCATTGGTTGATGCACAACGTGAAGATGGATCAAGAGAGAACGAAGAAATTGACATTAAGGTAAAGATGATAATACACTAATTTGCATTGTTTTATATTTTAATGAAAACAATATTTTGAGCCAATTAATATATCTTACTTATCACATGATTACATAGCTTATGTATCACATATATACACAAAAGTTATCACGTGATTTTCATAAAGTAACAAATAAAATCACTTATTTGCATTGTTTTAAATTATAATTAAATCAATATTTTGCACCGATTAATATGTCTTGCTTATCACAACATACTTATCACAAAATATGCATATAGTTATCACATCATTAACACAACTTACATGTCATATGACTTATCACAAATCTAGTTAGGTTAATGCATTATAAGTTTCAGATTATTTGCATATCACAATCTAGTTAGGACAAAATTGATTAATGTATAATGTAAAAAATGGCCAAATTGCTTATTTATCACATGATTATCACAGCTTACTTATCACATACATCAACCATAGTTATCAAATGATTTTCATAAAGTAAGAAATAAAATCACTACTTTTAAAATACATTCACATGTCATTTGTTTGTCGGTTTGTGCAGAGATACTTGGATGAAGTCGAACACACTTTCAGTATGTTGAAGACATTGAAGAGTGATTTCGATGGGATTCTAAAGAAAGGGAGGACTAGATACCCCGCATCTGTAGAGTCTGATGTTTGGCAAAAAAAAAGTTGATAGATTTGGTAGTAAATGACAAAATGGACCGTGATACCTCAATGAACATGTCAGTTGCCAAAAGTTGTGGAACAAAACAAGCATCAACTAGTGATCCATGACAAGGTGTTATGGATGGCGCACAAGAGATTGTTGAGACACCGACACAATTCTTCTCAAATCCAGAAACAATTAAGGGGGTTGACAAAATAATTAAAGTATATGAGAAGTTACAGATGCCGGATTTTAGTTTAGGTCTCACTCAAGAGTTTGAAGAAGTTGTTGATCCGAAGGAAAATGCTCCTAACAGAGATGACAATGATGTGGTTCCTAATGTGAAACCAATAAGTGAGATAGATATACACCGGTCCCATTGGTCGAAGAGCTTCAAAGGCGGGAGGAAAAATATGTTCACCGTATATGAATAGAAAAGTGGACGCACACCGACCTAACACAAAAGTTGAGTTAATCCTTTCTAACCTAATATTCGCTATGGAAGGCTTTTAGATGTAAGTTCATCTAACTACTTGACACTAACATTTGCATATGTTTATCACATTTGATTATCACATACACACAATAACTTTAGTATAAAGGAGTAACATACTTCAACATAGAGGTAGCAGAGTTTATCGCGAAATTTTGCATTTGCATTTTTCTATCATATGAACTCGACTCTTCATCACAACCTACACACCACTTTAAAAGATGCAGAAGTAGTTTGAGTTGAGATTTGCTAGCAATCAATTTGTTTTTGATCAAATCATATATATCAATCACATTTATCACACCGGTAACACATTTATCACACCATTATCATATTTTCTGGGATTACTGATAATTGTTTGGTTCGATATGCACAAATAATTTTTTTTGTTATATGATTTGAGCGATCAATATGTTGTGGGTTGGTGACACGAAAATTGTTTATCACACGTTATCACAATTTAGGACAGTTTGTCACAACATGCTTTTATTCTATCACAGAGTATCACAACATACTTTTATTATCACAGTTGGACACAGTTTATTACTTATTAAATCTATGACATTTATTTTCATATGAAAATCTACTAATCAAATAATTTATTAACCCACAGGGACTCGATATACTTAACATCGGAGGGGTCAATATGCACCACGTTATATTTTCGAAAGCATGGTTGATGATACTTTCATATTTCGGGGGTGTGATCGACATATGGACAACAATGTTGAACAATAATGAACAATACAGAAGCAAGTCTTCCCCTCGAAGGTATGTGATATTAATATTTGATCACTTAATATAAATTTCTTTGTTAGAGTCACTGATTTAACATTATCACTTAACAAAAAAGACGGACGACATGCTACCACTAAAATTGAGCTACGGAAGCATGTATACTATGTTTGAAACCAGCTTGGAGGCCGCAATGAAAAACCATAAGGAGCTAGCAACCTTAAGGAATGTAGATATGGTATATTTTCTTTATAATTATACGAACTATACAAATATTAAATAAGGTGCGACATAAATGGTTGAAATATACTAATGGCGTTCATTTGCATATTTTTTTTCCCGATCCGAAGGCGAAGTCACTTATACCTAATTGTGTTCAACCTGAAAAATACGGGCTTCTTAATAATCGATAACACAAACAGAGGTTGACATAGGAAGCAAGTATGGGGAACTACCACCACAATTGGTAAGCGTTTACGAACTTTATCACATATGATAAACTAAAAATATTTAAATATGCAATTACTAAATAACTAATCACAATACAAATTTGAAACGTAGCACAAGGCGCTTAATGGCTACTTGAAATCAGTGAGACACCCCAAAGAAAAAATCATGGCTAATGTCACTGCCAATGTCTGCAACCTGAAACGGAGTACGGTAGGAAATGATGTTGATTGCGGAATCTTCGTAATGCGGCACATGGAGCATTATATGGGACAAGTGATAAACCGTTGGGATTGTGGTTTCTTTCAAGAGGGTTGTGGACAAGAACAACAACTACGACGTTTAAGGCGGAAATATCTTACAAATATCCTGCTTTATATGTGTAGGATTGTATTGGCGCTATCCATGGAACACACGTAAAGGCATCAGTTCGAGAGCATGAGCAAGCGAAATAGATTGGTAGATAAGGATATGCGACTCAAAATATCATGTCAGTTTGTGATTTTAATATGTGTTTTACGTTTGCGTGGGGTGGATGGGAGGGAACTGCACATGACACACGAATATTTTTTGAAGCCTTGCGTAGAATTGGACTTAAATTTTCACATCCGATCGGTGGTTGGTATTTTTTTGTAGTAATAGAAACTTTTGTGTTTTCATACCATTTGAAACGAATAATAGTAGTTTATTTATTTTTCATAACAGATAAGTATTATAGTCTTGATGTTGGATATCCAAATACTAAGGGTTATCTTGCTCCATACAAAGGAACAAATAATCGTTATCACATACCAGATTTTTATAAATGACGATCATTTTTTGTTATTGATATTTATATAAAAATATTACATTATAATGACGATCTAATATTTTTTTTGTACAAATCTATTATTTTTGTTATAAATTATTAACATTATTGATATAAAATTTTGTCAGCGATATTATTATAAATGATAAAAAATAAATTTTTACATACTAAATAATCAAATAAGTTAATTAGCAATCCCAAACACTCCTTATAAGTCACTAATATGGAAAAAATCCTTTTTTTAGTCATTTTATATGTATAAGCAAAATTTGTCAAACACTAAAAAAAAATATCAGCTTATTGCATTTTGGTACTGTCATAAACTAATTCAAACACTTTTTATAAAACTCCGGTTTAACACCACATAAGTTAATAAACACTTTTATAAAAAAAAAACATAAAATATTTTAAATAAACAATCCCAAACACCCATTACCCGTATTTTCGATAACTTATGGTATTTAATCGGTACAGTGATATACAACTTGATGGCAAAAGTGGTTTTCAGCAGCATATATTGTTGATTAATTAGTTTATTTAATTTTATAAATTATTATAATTTTTTAATTTTTCTACTTTATTCTTGTAACTTTTAATTATTATACTTTTAATTTTTTGTGATTTATATTAATGTAGCTTTTTTACTTTTTGATTTTAAATTATTGTTGATTAATTAGTTAATTATGACTTTTATTCTTGTAATTTTTTATTTATCGTCTTTTTTTCATTAACCTGGATATCCAACCCGTTATGCGAGCCGACTAATTTCAGGGCAACCATCTGCTTTGCAGATAGCTCGGAGTTACCGTATTTGAACCTCCATGGTCACAAGTGATTTTTATTCCTCCTTGGATTTGAACCTGTCACCTCCTGGTACTCATTTATTGTCTTTTAGTTATAACTAGAAAAATACTCGCACAATGCAGCAAGATACATCTTGATTTCAATGTTTCGTTTTATATTTTGAGTCTATCGATGTTATAATGCGATTTTATGTGGTTTTGAGTATTATAAAATATTGAAAAAAGATAAGCGATATTAGTATCAAATTAATTATTTTAAAGTTCTCATTTTTGTGTAATTTATTGAATTCAAACTTTTATTATAATTTAATTGAAGTTTAATAATGAACTAATTTATTTTTGGTTTAATAAAATAAATTTTTTAAGATAATAATTAAGTATTCTATTAGAATTCAATAATTATTTTAATTTTTTTTTAATTTAAAATGATGTTTATCATGTATTTGATTACGTTTATCTGTAGTTAGTTATACGAATTCAAACATGGAACTTTAATAAGATTTAGTCATGCACATTCTACTTGTGATTTTGAATTTTAAGTAATATACATTAATAAACAGTACTTTATGTATAAAAAATTATTTTTAAGAGTTTTTGTCTAATGCTTTATAATGTGGTATATATAAGTAATTTTCAATCATTATAATTTTTGTTATTTGACTTTTTATCATATAACATTGTCTTATCGATGATGGCAAAGAATTATGTGAGAAGTAGAGTTAAGGTGAGAAGCGTAAAAAATGATCTAGATGTTGACCACTTTTTATCTCAAACTCACTATAAATCGCGTTTGATACGGGAATGGATCCAGTGCATCTCATCCTAATGTGTGCATTCAAGAATGGAGATCCCTTTTTACCCTTCTCACCTTAGTCCTCATTCTCACCATAATCCAACCCTATCCATGATTGAGGTAGAAAGTTTATAAAATGTGTAAGAAATAGTTTCATGACTAAGGTGGCGTTTGGTTTTTAAGAGGTGCTGAAGTCTGAAATCTTATTTCACTTCTGATTAATAGGAGATGATGCTGAAGTCTGAAATCTGAATCAATAAGACTATTTGTTTTTATAAATTGATTAATGTCTGAATTTATTTAAATGTCTATTTACCAATTAGAAAATTATAATGTTGAATTTATAGATAAATTTACATAATTTCACATATATACTCATCATCATCACGAAATTAATATTTAAGTTACATAACTAGCATTTATTTAAACAAAAATATGTCATTAACGGTATTTAACACATTTAAATCCTATTGAATTACACCAATTGAGAGATATGAGGATCGATTGGTAAATGATCAATTGAGAGAAATGATCGATTAAAGGTTAATCGATTGAGAAACATCGTCGCTAAAAGTTTCGAGAACAATAAGAGGCAAATAAGAGGTCGGTTTACCTCTTATCAGATAAGAGGACAATAAGATATAAGTGCATCTGAAAAATTGGAAAAAAAAAAAAAAAACAGTCTGAATGACCCTACCTCTTAACGAATCAAACATAAGAGACTAATAAGAGCTTTTTTAAAAAAAAACAAACAAGGCCTAAGAATAATAGTTCACTGTCACAAATCATAATATTCAAAATATTTTGTTATTTTATTTATTTTGTCAAGTTCCCGGTCGGTTATTCACTTAACTTATGTTATCTTGTATGCTGAAACAAAGAAAGAGAAGATAAAAATCTACAAATTTAGAGAAATCTTTAAAACTTTATATTGAAGAGACAAAAATAATATTTAATTCTTTCTCATTTTTGAAGGACATTGAAATTAAATATGTAGGAGAGAGAAACAATATTGTATTAAATGTATTGAATATTTTAATAATACTAGAAGGATACTCGTGCAATGCAGCGAGATATATCTTGATTTTAATGTTTCTTTCTATATTCTTGATCCATCGATGTTATAATACGATTTTATATGGTTTTGAGAAAAAAAAATGTTTTTATTTTTGAATGAAATATAAATTTGAAGATATTATAAAATTTTGAAAAAAATAATCGATATTATTATCAAGTTAACTATTTAAGGGGCCGTTTACGAAACGCTTACTCGGGTAAGTGAACACTAAATCAGTTTACCTTACCGGATGAATATGGTAAGGATCAAGAATCTTACCCGGTAAGAGCGAGACAAGGACCAAGAGTCTTACCCGGTAAGTGAAAGCGATGCCTCTTACCACGGTAAGCGCTTACCRGGTAAATTGTTGCATACGATACYGTTTTGGTGGACTAAAATCTTATCCGATAAGTAAATGATAGTGTTAAATTTACCGGTAAGCGCTTACCGGGTAAGTGTTTGGTAAACGGGCCCTAAAAGTTCTTATTTTTGTATAATTTCTTTAATTTAATTTTTATTATAATTTAATTGAAGTTTAATAACGAACTAATTTATTTTTGGTTTTAAAAAATAATTTTTTTTAAAGATAATAATTAAATATTCTATTATAATTCAATGATTATCTTAATTATAATTTAGATTTTTTATATTAAAAATAATGTTTATCATGTATTTAATTATGTTTATCTGCAGTTAGTTACATAAATTTTAACATAGAGCTTTAATATGATGTACTCATGCAGATTCTACTTGTAATCTTAAATTTTACATAATATGCATCAATAAACAGTACTTTATGCATAAAAATTATTTTTTAAAAGTTTTTATCAAATGCTTTATAAATCTTATTTTGTAGTACCGATTTTTATGATTAAACATGATTATACTTCCATTTTGTTCAAACATAAATTTCGGGTTTCATTCCCGCATATTGTTACCAGAGGAAGAATGTGTAGACTTCTTAAACAAAATGAGAAATCCAAAACTTAACAATTCGAAGAACAATTTTTTCAAATGGTAGTGAAAATGTGCACTGCTATGGCAAGTAGTAAGAAATGCTCCAAATGTAGTTATATAAGAAGGTTTAATGCTTACCTTATCTCTGTATATTTTTTGTTTATATCAAATAAAAACTTAATAAACTTTTTCAACGTGTCTAATTGATAGATTCATAGAACTTAACTCACTGCAAAAGAATGTCTAAATAGTATGATATATTGGAAACAAAAAATGTCTTACAGAACATGGTGGACCCCAATGATCCAACTTTGGCGCAATCCACAACAAAAGTCCTTTCAAAATTTGCAGAAAGATATAGAATAAACACCAATATGAACATCAAAATAAGGTGAAGATATAAGAAAATACAAAGCATAAACTCAATAAGCCCAAATAAACATGGAACGAATATAAACGACACATAACATGTTAACATAAATTGTTCAATGATCCGACAGTAGTTTTCTCATGGGATGAAGATAAAGGACATAACCAATATCTTTATACTACTATCATAAGACTTACTATTTCATCCCCAATCCTGAAAAAACAAAGGGTATCTGGACAAAAAAATGACATATTTTCATACAGTACTGATGGAATGTGAATTTAGAAAAGAAAATTCCAACATAGGAACACAACCTCACACTTGATGATGCTTCTCTTTGATTCTACCAAACGACTCTTATATAAGGTTGTAAACGAACAGAACGTTTCGCGAACCGTTTGATGAGAAGTTCGTTTATTTAATACATGAATGGACATGAACAATTTTTTTGTTCATTTAGTTAAACGAACGAACATAAACAAGAGTCATGTTCGTTCATCTATGTTCGTAAACATTCGTTCATTT